TTTGCTTACACACTAGGAAGGATAGTGTGACCTGTAACCTCTGACAGTCTGGCCTGAAAAACAGTAACTCTAGAGTACAGTTATTTGGTTTTCAGCACCTTGCAACATAGATGCCTTGTCCAGAGGTCAACTGTGGTGTTAGCCGTGAAAAGGACTGCTGTACCCAGCAATTCCAAATTAGGACACAAATGGAGGAAAATAAAACAAACCTAACAACTCCTTGTTATCTCACTATGGTATTCATCAGTCTGTAAGGAATCTCTCACAGTCTCGCAAAGTCATATGTGTCTGGTCTGTCTGTTGAGACTACATCTCCATCGTCTCACCTGTCTCAATGGAGCCAACAAAGCCTATAACAAATCCAGCTGTGTGGTACAGAGGCAGGTTGAGGTAGATGACATCACTAGCCGTTACACCGTTTGAAGATAGAACAGCCAGAGCTGTAACGAGGCGGTTTTGGTTGACCACAGCTGCCTTAGGGAGACCTGAAATACAACAAGACACAAACAGCACAAACCTTAAATACTATGTTGTCACCTCCACATGACTGTAGTTGTTAAATCAATCAGGCAGGGGTCCAAACCTTAAAGACAATAATGTTGTGGTCACAGATTATCACATGCAACTGAAAAACAATCAGATCAATGCAGCCACTCAAATACCTGTAGTGCCAGAGGTGTAAATATAAACTGCAGGACTTTTGAATGTAATGTGTGATCTGAGGGATCGAGGGAGCGGGGTGTCCGATGCCTCGTCCACTTTATCAGAGAAGCTCTCTATTCCTGGTGTGTCACAGTGTTTGGTCATCAGGAGGACGACGACACCCTGCTCTGTCAGGGAGGGCAACACATCCTTCACTGCTTCCTGTAGCTCTAGAAAGGGACATACAGCTCAATCATAACCACTGGATAGAAGTTTTAGATTAATTAAAGACTTGCCTAGATACTGGCGCAATATTATTTGTTAAGAATGCAGCTTTACAGAAAATGCAAGTATGATTGAAGGCTTATGGAAACTCAACTTTCACTTATTAGTTATAGGAATTATAGATGTGGACAGTTGATTTGAATCACCTGAGCCTAGATGCTGGAGGACAGTCAGTGAACTATGGTACCGGAGACAACGTGCACTGCAGTAATTTGAGAACAAAAATACTGTTTGTAGTATTAAAAGCTGTTCCAGTAACCTGAAAGGTTTTTTTGAGACCTCTGAAAATGAGGGAGAAATTGTGTACCTGAAGGGTAACAACAACATCTAACAAAAGAAACAGAAATCTCTATTTTTCACAGGAGCTTGAAATTTCAACTTCAATTGGATATGAAATTATTTTAGATTTATCTTCAAATGGCAAATATTCTTAGTATGAGACTGTCATACTAAGTCTTAGTATAAGTATGTCACCACCATTTAATAAGCTTAAGTCCCTTCCCCTCCACATGACTGTAGTGTTAAATCAATCAGGCAGGGGTCCATCCAAGATAATTCTTGAGTGCATACCATGACAATTTCAAACTTATGTTTGTTCATTCATTTGTGCACTTCTAATTATGTAAAAGGATTTCAGTGTTTGTGCCCCATATGGGCCAAATACTACTGAAAGGTATTTTCCACTGTGCCACTCCCATTTTAACTTCTTCTTCTCCGAAAACCCTTTAGGCCTTTAGGCTTGACAGAGGTTAAATTGAAATCAGAAACCATATAAATGTCACAGCTATGTAAAAGAAACTCACATCCAACTTGAATGGGTGGTTCAAGTTGGAACCTGCTCCTTAAAAAGCTGGCCCAACTCCCTAAAGGTTTTGCTCATTAAGTTCACACATGCATACCTGGTGCTGCTATCAACACTTTAGCCTTGCAGCAGTTAAAGCAGTGCAGCAGACACTTGGTGCGGATGTTGTGATTGAGAAGAGCCACAGGAGAGCCTAATTTAGCCAACGCCAGCCAGGTAAACATGAAGGCGGGTTCATTCCCCATGAAAAGGGCAACAGTATCCCCAGCTTTATACCTAGGATGAGACTGGAGCGCGTTGGCTATTTGGTTACTCCTTGTATCTGTGTAAGCGTAAGAGTAGCGTTCACTTCCAAACACAATGAACAGCTTGTCTGGATGCGCAGCGGTCTGCTCCAAGAAACGATCCAAAACAAAAAAGAGAGGTCTCCTTCTTCGTCTCGACACAAAAGTCACTAAAATCCGTAGCAGAACCCTGAAATACAAAATATCCATCCAAAGATAAGGGGAAAAAGTTTTGAGTGCGAATGGTAAGACGAGGATACTTGCTAAAATTACTGAAATTAAATACATCTCCAGCATGTTTTCTCGTTTGAAAAAGCCACAGGGTCCTGTAAAAAATAAGTGCAGCTCCTGCTGCAAAATGGGGAATGTTACAAAGACGGATTTTTTTCAGTGGGGCGGGGCGTTTTCTCAGAAAGTAAGTTAAGTTCATGGAAAAGGGGAAATATTTTAAATAATTTGGAATACTTATGATTGAAGGACACAAAGCTCAGCAGCAGCGTATCGCTACTTTTATTGCAAAAAAAGAGGAAAAGTTGGAAGTGACAAAACTGATTTAGGCTATTTAGAGAAGAAAAGGTTAAAGGATATTAAACAAGAAACAAGAAACACCCACATACCTCTTACACTTAAGGTCAGTGTAGGTCAGCTGTAAAAGGCTGTGGAGGTTAAATATGTAGCCTAACTAACGCTCTGCAGCTTTTTTGGGATCAGTTGATGCAGTAGGCGGAGCCGCAAGTATGGACGGAAGAGGGGACTGCTTTCTGTCTCTTGCTAGTTTCTCCAATGGTTAACATGACAAAAATTACATTTTTAGTTTCTTTGATCATTATATAGTAACATAGTAACATGGACCGGTATTAGCCCACTCAGTTATATAGCCTACAGATAAGCAGTTTAGTCCAGGTTCTCAACCTAAGGGTCAGTCACCATCCAAATCTGTGCAGTGGAAGATGATGTAGGGCTGGTAAGAAGGGGGGGAAATGGGGGGAAAGTTCTGCTACAGATTACACAATTATTTACTTGACTTTTCTCTAATCTTTGTTTTTTATTTTTATGAAATTGTGGATTATTTAACCTTGGGCCTCAAACATTTATTTAAATGAAACCATGTGAAGTTTAGCTGGGAGTTGTCTCTGGTGGGACTGCTAACTACTCTCAGACATCTTAAACATGAAAAGGGGCCATCACGTGACACTTCTTGTTTGTAAGAGGTTACAAGCCAAAAGTTGGGAACCACTGGTTTCATCTACAACAATGTGTCCTATGTTTACCTTTATGTAAATCTGTTAATATGATTAGTAGCTCGTAACTCCAGCATTCAAATAAATGTAGTGGAGTAAAAAGTAAAATATTTCACTCTGAAGTCTAGTGGAGTTGAAGTATAAAGATGCATAACATAGAATTACTCATGTACAGTACAAGTACCTCAAAATAATAAATAGTACAGAACTTAAGATATTTTCCTAGTTACTTTGCGCCACTGGTAATGGGACTAACCCTGTGTTTAAAGATGGATTATGGATTGAAACATTCTGATGATTGGCTGATGTGCATTCAGGTATACACACAGACATACACACAGACACAAACTCAAACAGCAGCACACAGTGACAAATATTAAGAAGTTTAATCCTCAGACACAGTCTATTATTTTTGGTGATACCAGAATTGTAAAAATGGCGATTTCCCACAAGAACTGTTTTTTTCTCCGGATGTTCTTTTGAAGTAGTTTTAAATTCCTGCAGGTGGCACTCTTTTCTTTTTTTGTATGTGGTCAACTTTTCACCAAGCAATTGCTCTTAAAAACAAACCCTTATTTGGCCTCATTACGTGGGTTTGTAAAGATGGACATACAACTTAAAGCAAGATACTGAAGATTATTTTCAGGTTCAAAAATATTCAAACATATTGGCATTGTATAAAATATAAAGAAACTGGAACAATTTTACAGTGCATGTTTTCATTTATCCATAGAAGAGATAAGGCTTTGTTTAAGCCCAAATACAATGTATGCTGGGGAGTATGTCAATATGTATTAACTATGTTTATTTACAAACAATAATAAGATTAATAATAAGATAATAAGAGTTAAGTGAATACTTAACAGGACTTTAAGTTAAAACTAAAGATCCGTAGCTATGAAACAGGTCTAAAAATAGCACGGGGGTCTTTTATTGACTTAAATTGAAACTGGCAAATGTTTCCAATTGTGTTCTGTTAGACCAGCATTAATCAGTAATTTTATCTTTCAATTCAATATCTTAGACTAAACAACACTATCTACTCGAATAGATAGTTTTTCTTACCCTCTGTGGCCAATGACTTGATTAATGCAGCTTTAATGATAAAATAGCTGATTTCTCAAAATTCTCCCTGTGACTAGCAGACTATTGGGAGCTGAAGGCATCCTTAGTGCATGTCCTTTGAACCTTGGGCATTAACCATAGATTTCTTTATAGAGGGCCAGGTAATATCAGGAGTCAATAAGGTCTTTGGGTTGTGAAATTCTTGTGACCACACCTCAGTGAAGCATGTGGTGACACAGCACGCACAAGGCACTCTTTCTATTTGATTGTGTGAACTCCTTTTCTGAATCTTGCTTCTGAATTACAGAATAAATTAATGTACTCACTAAAAATGCTCAGTTTATGTGTTTATTATGTGTTTTTGGTATTTTATGTAGTAGCAAATGTTTTCGTGTAGTCACTGGTATTTGCTTTTGCAATGCAAAAATGTCTTCAATCGGTTTATACTGTTAGTTATTTTATGAGCAAAAACGACCATTCCCCTGTCACTGCTTTGTAGGTTGACAAAACATATTCTGCACAATGTTACAGCAATATTCTCCTCTGGAGCATTTAACTCAGCCCAGCTGATAAGAATTTGCTGGCATAAGGGATTGTGTTTCAGAAATGCTTTTTCTCAAGTCATGTGAAAGCGACCAATGGTCTAAGAGGCACGTAGACCCACTCCTATAAAGATGAGGCGCCTTCATTCATGAGAGCAAACTCAGAGGTGGATCCTGCGCTGCTGTTTGATTTCACTGACAAACTCACTATTACATTGGACCATGCTGCGAGTCAGGTGTCTGAGAGGAGGTAGCAGGGGGGCCGAGGCGGCCCATCTGATCGGAGCCATGGTTGGTATTATGGTGGTTTCATGTCTTTTATTTTTTTTTCAAAAATTTTAGACAAAGTACAATATTTTTGTTTAAAAAAAAATTTAAAAGCACATGTCAGTCAATGGGAATAAAGTATTATATTATATTCAACATTTTCTTCACTAGGCTTCATCTGAGCTGCTTCTTTCATTTGAGATCAGTTTAACTGATTTATCAATTCATTGTTTGTTTGCACTTTGGTTGATTGAAATACTAAAATCTTGAAAAGACAATCCAATCTAATCAACCATTCGGGCTAAAAAGAAAAACACAGATTAAGTCAAACAGACCTATTCCTTTATTCGTTTGCAACTGTTGAGAGAATCTTTTTTTCCTTTGGTCCCTGAGTGACAGTGAACAACTGTTTGGCACAGGTGCACTCCCAAACTCAGCGACACATGAGCTGATCCTGAGCCAGCAGATGCCACACTATCTGTGGAGATACTGCTTCTTAATAACACGTGTACTTTGGCACCAAACAAATTGAATGCCTTTCTCATTGATTTCTAAGGTCACCGAGTTCCTTTTATCAGCCTACACAGTTTTACTGTATTTGAATTAGCCTTTTTGTATGTGAGCTGCCAGCTGGGTCATTTCTTTGACTGTACGACTTCTAATTTCATTCATTTCTGGCACTAAAACAAAAGAACAGAATACACAGCAACGTAAATTACACATAATTTTGTTTACAACTAATACACAAATTGTATTAATATGTATACATTGTATTTTCTATCTGAAAAAGTCTTCCATGTAAAGAAATGGCATTTTTTATACAAAAGCCTTTCTTGGTTTTAGTGATGTCACACCCACAGCACATTTTTGTGTTGCAAAATATAAAACAATAAAAACTTTCCCTCCTCAGCTTGGCCGGGCGGTGACTGGATGGGTGCAGAGGGCCTTCCAAAGCACTTCAAGTGCAGCGGCTGCACAGACGCAGCATGTCGTTGAAGAGGAACATGTTACTGAGCCTGTGCAGCAGGAATGTCCTGTTTGCAGCTACAATGAATGGGACCCTCTTGAGGAGGTGATCGTGGGTCGTGCTGAAAACGCCTGTGTGCCTCCTTTCACTGTGGAAGTGAAAGTAAGCCAGAATGTCAAGATAACGTCTGTGAAACATGCAGAATATTTCCGTGTGTGCCACTGCTGTATAGGCTTTCTACCAAGAGAGCATCAAAACTGTGAAATGACCTAAATTGAACTGTGAGGCAATGAGATTAACTCCATGTTGTCATATTGTAAACCCCTCAACAGGCTAACACATATGAGAAGTATTGGCCCTTCTACCAGAAGTATGGGGGTCAGTCTTTTCCTGAGGACCACTTGAAAAAGGCTGTCGCCGAGATTGAAGAAATGTGCAATATTCTGCGTCACGAGGGCGTCAGTGTGAAGAGGCCAGAACCCATCAACTGGTCCCTGGAATACAAAACTCCAGACTTCACATCCTCAGGTAAAAAAAATACTCACTGATAAGCCTTTACTATATATTTTCAGTTCCCACTAATATCAAATGTCTAAAACATGTGTAAAGAAGTAGATCACTACTCAAAGCCAATAATCCACAAAGTCACAAGTCAAACTTAGTACTTGTACTTTTTATACTTTTACTCCACTACATTTCAGAGGGAAATGTTGTACTTTTTACTTTAAGCATATGATCTGTTATGATCAGTATGATGCATTTTTATAGATTAAAGTACACAAACAGTTTATAGATAAAATCAGCTTCCTAAACCAGCTACAACACTGAAGTACTGTTAACTTGTTAATGCATCAATGATAATGGTCCTGTAATATCATGATAACACTGACAGGGTCTATTCTGTCTAACAAGTACTTATTGATACTTTAGGTACATTTAACTAATACTACTTATGTACTTTTAATTAAGTAAAAGTTTGGACGCAATTATTTCTACTTGTAATTGAATGTTAAAGTAATGTAATACTTAGTATTACCCTACTTACTTACTTTTACATAAGTAAATGATCTAAAGACTACTCCCACCGCTGGTCTCACATTTAATGTTGTATTTTTATTAAATATTCTATGTAAGCTAATCGTGTATTGTTCAATATGTTGTAGGCATGTATGCTGCCATGCCCAGAGACATCCTTATGGTTGTGGGAAATGAGATTATTGAGGCTCCTATGGCCTGGAGGGCTCGTTTCTTTGAGTACCGAGCCTATAGACCTTTGATCAAAGAGTACTTCAGAAAAGGTGCTAAATGGACCACTGCTCCTAAACCCACTATGGCCGATGACCTGTATGATCAGGTGAGGGCTTATTTTGTGAGATTTATTTGAGATGCCATACCTTCTGCTGGTAAATGCTCAAGACAGCACATGCTAAATGTTTCAAATATGGACTATGTGGGATTTATATTTCTTGAAGGGTTGGGATTATGTGTTTAATCTCAACACTCAACCTGTAAACCTCTTAGCCCTGTGCTGTTTATTGCACTGTACGTGGCGAGAGACTATATATTGCTGCATAAATGCATGTAAATCATCAATTGCACGGTGTCATTCAGGACTACCCCATCCGCACTGTGGAGGACAGACACAAGCTGGCCGCTGAGGGGAAGTTTGTGACCACAGAGCACGAGCCCTGCTTCGATGCTGCTGATTTCATCCGAGCTGGGAGGGATCTTTTTGTACAGAGGAGTCAGGTATGAAGGCTGTTAAACTAAAAAGCATGCTTGCTATCTGATAAGGAGGGTGACTTTTCTTAAAGCAAATTCATTCTTATATAACAGTCATTGCTTGAATGTCAGTGACCTGCAGAGCGATGTGCAACGTGCAGAGTGAGAGATTAGATAAAGCAACATTTTGCTATAGCTCACCTGTAGATGACATATAAAAGTCTCTGTGAGCTTGTGATCACCATTTAGGCTATTCACTCAACACTTAATACAGGTAGCCTGCATAAAATAAGGCTGCACTGGAAACTTTGGAGTTTATTTGCAGGTTACAAACTACATGGGAATTGAGTGGATGCGTCGTCATCTTGCCCCAGACTACAAGGTCCACATAATCTCATTCAAGGACCCAAACCCCATGCACATTGATGCCACTTTTAACATCATTGGGCCAGGACTTGTGCTGTCAAACCCTGATCGCCCATGTCGCCAGGTACTGTAAGAGGAAACGGCTCACATTGCCCTATGCTACCCTCTTGTGGACTGATACTTTAACTTGGTTTGATAAACACTACAAAGTGCCACATGTTCACCGCTTCTCTTTTTTCCTTTACCTTAGATTGACATGTTCAAGAAGGCTGGCTGGACTATTGTGAAACCTCCGACACCTCTGATTCCTGATGGTGGGTACTAAAACTTATCTTCTCTTACATAAGCAGAACATTTGGAATATTTACTGGAAAAAAAACACTCTCCCTTTCTATGTAGACCACCCACTGTGGATGTCCTCCAAATGGCTGTCCATGAACGTCCTGATGTTGGATGAGAAGCGTGTTATGGTTGACGCCAGTGAAAGCACTATTCAGAAAATGTTTGAGAGTCTCGGTGAGTTCATATATTGAAGTTATTCCAACTTACATTCGCATAATTTTTTGATCTTCCCATTCATCTATGAGGAACAAACTTTCCTCTATGCTGCGATGTGTTTTTGTTGCAGGTATCAAGACCATAAAGGTGAGCATTCGTCATGCCAACTCCCTGGGGGGTGGCTTCCACTGCTGGACAACCGATGTTCGCCGCCGTGGTACCCTGCAATCCTACTTCCACTAGCCTTGCCAGAAATAGGCAGTTTTTATTGAGCTTTGGATATTAAAGACTCAGTCCCAAATCTTAATACCACTGTAATTGTTAAATTTTAATTGTGAATTAATCATTTATGTACACACAGGTTAATGAAGGGCGGAGCTTTGTGATACAAAAATCTACTGTTTCAATCTCAAAAAGTATACACATTTGAAATATGTGTATGTTTAAAATGGGCGTCACCTGCAGCAAGTCAAACCTGTGAAACGTATTGTATACTAACCTGTGTGAAACAAACTAATAATGGGGCAATCTTAACATGACAGGTGGCACCAAAGTCTTTTTTCTAGATTGCATCTTTATGTCCTAATTTTACATGTATGAATTGTCTTGATTTGACATTGCTGTGCATCACAGAGCCTTTGCAAACAGTTCTGCAAACAGTTCTATACAGTATATATACACGATGAACATTACTTTACATTACTTTACTTGAATCAGTAATCTCAATATTAACTGCATTTCTGGCCTGGCTTTTGCGAAGCTTAATTGTTTATGGCTTATACATCAAAAGTCATAACTTTGAGGACAAGGTACAATTTGGTATGTGAGAGTCATCAAACAAGGACACAGGAGGAGAGAAGCTACCTCCCCATGAAAAGTCAAAAACCATCATGTTATCTTTTTCCAAAGTATTTTTTATTTAAAGAAATGTATAAGTTGTTACGTTGTTGAACATACGTGCTTATATGTAGTCTTCCATTCTATTTATATTTTTCATACTCTTTATTGGATTTCCCAACAATTAGTTTTTTTTATATATTTACATAAAAAGTATGCAGTCCATATCAGATATTGTATACCTTTTGCCTCGGCTGATTTCTCCTATTGCAAATCTGGGCCAGTTATATGCTACCAGTCATTCTCAGTGCTTGGCTGCTTTTGTGTGTTTTGTTGTGAAGTGTTGTTGTAATGTTTTATGATTCCTTTGCTGCCTATACAGTTAGATATAAGATGTTTTCCCTGTTCAAGTCTGCCATGATATTTCTTTGGAAACAATCAGTTCAAGCTATTCAAGTTATGGCTCAACAGAGCAATGCAAGTGATGGTTTGTATTATGCAGCCTTATTAAATGTAATTAAAAAGAGCTGTATGTGATTTTGTGATTGGGAATTTTCTTTTGATTATATTATTTGTGATATTTGTTTTTGTTAATGGGACCATTACTGGTGTGAAAAAACATTGTAGCATTGCATTTCCTGACCTTTAATCTATATCACTGAGATATTTTACTAAAGTAAAAGTATTAGCACCACTAAGTTAAAGATATGTCCCGCAATCAAATGTTTGGACTTAGGTAAACAAACCAGCAAAAAAGTATCAAAAGTAAAAGTACTCATGCCAGAGTGGCCCCTTTCATAGAGGTATGTAAAATGCATTAATGTTTTGGTAGCATTTTAATATTGTTAAGGTGGCGTTTTTCAACTTCTTAATATATTAAGGAGTTTTATCTATAACAATACATAATATTTTCTAGGCTGTTCATATATTTTAGTTGAAATATTCAATGTGAAACGTAACTTCTAACTATAGTTGTCAAATAAATGTATTGGAGTAGAATTATAAAGTAACCTAAAATGGAAATACTCAAGTAAAGTACAAAAACATCACAAATACAAAGTGTACTGTCAGGAGAGTAGTGGAGTAAATATACTTAATTTCAAACCACTGCTGAATGCCACATGTTTAGTTAAATAAAGTAGGCCACTGTGGGTCACACAAACCTGCAAACCTGGGATCTATTCACCTGTTGGATAAATCGCACCACATGTACTCTAACACCTTTATGTCTGTAAACATTAACTAGGCTATGGTGTCAGTGGAGGGGAATATTGCATCATATATTATCATGTAAACGGGACTACTGCCAATGCAAATAGGAATAGACTTTACTGTAAGATTCAAAAAATGTTAACTGCTGTATTACTTTTATTTAAGTTGAAGGCAGTGAAGTATTGGTAACAGTTTATTCAGTGGTTATCTGGAAAAGTAAGATCTGTTTTATTATGTTAAAATTAATGGCTAGGTTGTGGTCAGAGGCAGTTTTAAAGTTTTAAAGATTAAAGTGCAAAAACGTATACTGTAGTATAGCATAGTGTACCTTAGGAGAACCACACTTGAATGTCTCAGTATTTAATGTTTGAAGTCTGTAAGACAATAGATTTGAAAAAGAAAATGTCAAAGCTTATTTTATAAATGGTATCAATATAGTGATCTGTTGTATGATGCCAAATAAATTAGAAATTACAACATGCTGGAAAGGTTTCATAATAACAGAAAAAACGGCATTGAAATAAACTGTGAGAAAAGTTTTGTATGCATGTTGATGTCAGCATTCTGCTGCCATCTAGTTGTGAAAATTACACATAGCACTCCAAGGTTTAACAATGTTGAACAATTAGAAATAAAGTTTATGAATGACACAATCAGACAATGATGTTGTTGTGAAATACATTTGCAGAAAGCAATACATGTTCTCCATAACCTGTTGGTAATTAAAACTCCTTTACATTAAATCTAAATACCTTTTGTACCCTCTCTCAAACTTTAAATTCTTCCATCTTTATAGTCAGTTCTTATTTAATTTCTTTTGAGAGCATCACTCTAAACTAAAGCTATATACTGTAGTGTCTTCTTAAGTGTGGCCAAAGGTAGACACTTAAGACCTCTAAAGTAAACAGGATTTGTGACAACCTACTTGAGGAGTGATCCCATTGTGCTGGTAGTCTGAATTCATTGACAGCATATGACTTTAATGGGACCAAAACAGTCTGCTGCCAGTAGACACATCCTGACTATGTGCAGCTCTCTGATATTCAGCACAAGCACGCTGCCTATTTAACTGCTTCAGTTTGTCACAATGTGGCTTGGATCAGTCACTACAGGGTAAATGCTATCAGGCTACAGGTGTGGCCAGTGGCTGCCTCCTGCACTGATAGATCACATTCAGAATCACACTCTGGATAGAAGGTGACAGTGTGTCAGTACAGGTTCACTTGAAGCCAAGTCGCTTCTCTTTGCAGCTGTTCAGTCATACCTCCATTACCACCCCACTCGTGCTTATATGTAGTCTTCCGCAGATGTATTGCTTATTTGTACAGCTGCCTAAGTGCCTAATACTGCAGCCTCAACAACTGCCTTCAAACAGGAAAACTGATTGGGATCTAGTAATGATCATGTTTCAATATCGGCAGGAAAACAATTGTCACCCTCTCAGATTCTTTTGACAAAGGGAGACATACAGTCTGAATTAGGTCCAGAACAGGGTAGACATCCAGGGTGAACATCACTTTTTCCATGAGCTCAGCAAGTCCATCTTTTTTCAAAATTGTCCAATGCACTAACCATATTTCCAACTCACAGTGTAAAGTAAACCAGAAGGTAGTTGGATATTCTTTTGTTGCACCTTTTCACTAGATTGCATCTTCTTTGTCAATTATATAATATATAGCACCTTTCAAAATAAAGTAACAGTAGTCATACAGACTATTGTATTCTTGTATGTGGATGCCTACATACTAAATAATAAGACCTACTTATTAAAGGGCCTCTCCAGTGGTTTAGTATTGCACTTCCATAAAGTTTGGGGAACTTGTGAAAGTCAGTTTTAAAAAGAATGGGATATCCTGACTTTAAGTCTATGGTATTGGTCAAGCTCAAGAAACCTGGACAATCCTACATCCCCCATAATGCAACCACTACTAGCTTTTTGTTATCCCCTTTTTGTATGTAAAAGTATGTTAAAGTACTATCACAAGCATAAACATTTATTTGATGAAGCTGGTTGCACGGAGAACTTTGCTCACTGCAGGTCACACAACGTTTTCCTCTTTGTCAAAATGGTTTATTTGTATATTACTATTCCTCTGTCAACCAAACAACAATGTGATTTGTGGGTTCTCCCTCTGTCTGTCTGAAGTATTCATATAAATGCCATTGTAAATCTTTATTTAACAATATAAAACAACATTCATTCAGCAGTGGGTCACGGATCCAGTGTAGAAGTGAATTCATCCACATCAGTGTGGTTTCATGCAGAGGTTTTAATATAATCATTTGAACAAGGTGTCCTTTAACTTGTCTAGTGTAACCTGAATGACAGTTTTGCACTGGATCCTGGCCAAGAACTGCATGTGGAACAAAGATACTGCAAGCACAATGTGTGCAGACAATACTTAATACAGCAGCATCGCAGCAGTGTAGTAATAATGTTGTTTTCTGTGTTGTGTTTGGATATACTGTGAGCCACTGAACTGTTTAAAAAGCTCAATAGACATTTGTTGACATGAAATGGAGTGGCTACCAATTTCTACATTGCCCAGTTTACAATATTGTCTGCTGTAATATCCAGGCTGTTCTGCAGCTATTTAAAAAGTTTAAAATCTGACAAAACAGTCCAACATTTGCAAACTCTGTGTCAGTATATAGTTTTTCCCAGGCAAATGTGTGGAGCACGAAAACATTTTTTGTGTTTAACATTTGCTTTAAATTGGACATCCTTTTATAATTTACTGCCTTCAGCAAAACAGTCTAACCACTCTGACTTTCATTTTGAATCTTTCGTAGTAATTGATAGTAAAGAGCAACAGAAAACACTTTTTCTGGTTTTGACTGAATAGGCCAACAGAAATATTTCATTCAAATAATTGTACTGAACCCCTAAAGTTAAAATATAAGAGTCTATTTATAAGAGAGTTCAAGTCAAGTCAAGTAAATTTTATTTATACAGCCCAATATCACAAATCACGTTTTTTTATTTAATGTTTTACCTGCCTACATATGTAAACGCAAGAGTTTTGGAGTCTGCATGTAATTAGTTTGTCCATGACCTTCTGCATGCTCATATTTTCCATGACTAAATGGTGAGTGTTTTGCCACGATAACTGTTAACTTCAAGAATGACTGTACAGTAGTTTTCTTACCAGATTTCACCAAGACATCTATTGTAAGCCGATCTGGTGTTCTCTAACTAAAATGGTCGCCTACACAGAAGATGACCTTGAATGTTAGAAGAAACAGTATCACAGCGTTGCACACCAACTCTTTGATGCACTATATGTTTCTTGTGCAGCTCCTTTTAAACATTTTCCTTCTAGGGCTTTTTTATTTCCTATTCACAGACAGAGAGAATGGGGTATCAGAAGTGGAGGGTGAACTACAGGAGGATTAGCGCTGAACTCCTTTCAGTGAATGGTAATGGATGACTTAAGCTTTATACACTCCAGATGCTTAGCTGCCTAAAACATACTACATACAGTACATGCCCTGGATACATCTTTTTTAATTATACATTTCCAAACATAACTATAAATCAGTTTACCTCTATTGTTTAGGAGAGTGAGAGAAGTCTCAAAATCCCTGCAAATAACACAGAAACTATGTGCAACTTTCTGATTTAGGTAAACTGACTGAAAATGGTCTTCTGACTGCCTGGTAATGTGTAAGTGTTGCAAGGAAATGCATACATGTGTACAGCTTTTGTTGCACCCACTTATGTCTTATCATAAGGTGGTGATTAACCTTATACCATCAGAAATCTCAATAACTAAATTAATTTGATTGCAATAGAACAGAATGGCGGGGAATACTTTCACCCGTCAAATAAAATCTGATTATCTCAACTGTTCAGCTGTTGATTCTGATGAAAGTTATGGAAATAATCACAGTTTAAGGGTAGTTCAACTTAAACTTTGATTTATTAGAGGGGAAAAAAGGTAACTTTGTGTGTTATTGGAGGTTGATTTATTAACACTGATATTAAAAGTCATATCAGAAATGCAGTTGTTTGTTTTGGTCTGATAATATCGGAAGACATGCTTCAGTCAATATCAGGCTAATTTTCACATAACAATTCAATGTTGTAATTTTTATTTTTGGTAAGTACGCAATTTTGTGTATTTTAAACTACAGAGCATAGGACAGTAAAACTTGGCATATCCACTTTAACGCAAATTATAATTAGTGGAAAAGGAATTTGACACCACTAAAGTTTACATATAGTGTCTACACTGTAGACGAAACATGTGGTTTGACAGTGAACCAAATATAAACACATTACAAGTTTACATTTCTAAAGTGCTCCAGCTAAAGAATGTAGCAGCACAAAGTACAATGACAATTACTGACAGCCAAACACACATAAATGACATAAGTGCAAATAAGGCAACAGTAAACATGTCATCCCCTCATGAATAATGCAGCCAGTGTTACTAAAAGCTTATAAAGAATTGAGCATGACCTGTCAGTGGCTTCATTTATATACTGTCATCTATCATATCTCTAACATAGAGTTATTTAACACTTAGATTATTTGTATTCCACTGGTCTGTGTTTGTTTTAGCAAAGCAATAAACTAGCTGAGGCTGTGATTTACAGTGATTTTCATGAAGTTTCATGCACTGTCTAAAGAAATTTAATCACACCGTCATATGATTTGTTGCTTAAAGCTCCAAATAGAAATTATTATTGGTACTAACCTTGAATCAATAATCTGTAATGTGAAAGGGTTGCTAGTACTGCAAATCCCACTGAGAACAAACAGCCACTCTGTGCAGCGTTTAGGCTGTTGAAGCTCATTGTTATGGAAGGCAAAACACAGAGGCGTTGTTTGACACATGTTAAAGGGGAACCATATTTTTTTATACATAAAAGGTCAGTTTTCTTGTCATAGGGAGTGCTACTCTGCCTGTGAGGACCTATGTCAAAGCTAGAGTACAGGACTTTTACATATAAATGAACATCTGTTACTTTCAAGCCCTTGGCAAACAAGTTCACATCATGGTGGACAACAGCAGCAACTCAGTATGTCAGTCTACACTGTATGTAAGAAGCATGTGACCGTGTTGTGTAATTACCGTCACTGTCAGAAGGGGGAGACAAAAGTTTCACTCTGCAGGTTTAACTCTAAGAATGCTGATGATGTTATCAGGTTTATCTTTTCTCAGCCTTTAAGACTACAGATTTATAACAGAAAGTCTGTGATATAAACCTGAGGCATAGCATTTGAAAGACAAGTGTTTGCCAGAGAGAGGGGGTCTAATGAAAAGCAGCTATAGGATGCATTATAGGATGTCTTTGAGCTAGAGTCCAAGTCAAGTCTCAAGTCTTTGAGCAAGAGTCCAAGTCAAGTCACTCGTGGTTATAAAGAATTTTGTATCACCTGCTGTGTTCAATCCAGACTGTTTTTTTATACTGCTTAGCTATAAGGGATTCTGTAACCTGTTTTTTACTAACTGTCAGGAGAGCACAACCATGTAATCTGCAATGCAATCAATGACAGCTTATAAACTACTGTAAGTCAACACATTCCTCAGACTCACAAACCCAGTGTTAATGTTAACTAAATAAAACTGTAACGTTACATGATCAGCAATAAACCTGTAACCTGTTTGCAGCCAACGTTAACAATTAACGTTATGTCAGCCAGCGGGATGCAAATGATTACGTTAATCGACTACCAGACGTTTGGCAAGCAAACAAACGCTCATTCTTCTTTTCATAACGAACGACAGTAAGAGTTAACCTCTCATAGGTTTTAGCTAAATCAAGAAGCAAGCTAACGTTAGATGACCAATGCTAAGCTAAACATGTTTACTAACCTCAGGTTACTAACCTATTTTGTGTTCAGCGCTTCTTTGTTTGGGTCATATTGTATGAAGTTTTAAAGCCAAAGTTTACGATGAATGGCTCAGCAGCTGCCGTGCTTGTTGTCCTCTCTCATATGTGAGGTAGCAGAGTGAGGGGAGTAACAGCAAGCTCATCAGATGTTTCCTAAAAATAAACATTGTTCAAAAGTCCCGCACCTCGAGTCAAGTCTTGAAGTCTTTTGAGGACAAGTCTCAAGTCACTGTGTGTGCAACTTAAGTTGCCATCACTGCTTAATATTGTTATATATGTCAGAGGTCAGACATTAAGTATCCTGCTCAGGGACACATTGATGGATGTGTCACATGGGGGAATTGAACACGGGTCTCTCATACCAAAGGTCTTATCCACTGCACCATCACCACCCCAGTTTTATTTTTTCCTGAATATTTGGACTGAAGAGAATGTTTCTCAATTACTAGAGAACGTGCATAAGAACAGTGCGGTATTATAAATACTAAATGATAAAATAAAGGAGAATTTATTCCAGTGAACTGTTGAGAAGTGTTGTGTGAAAGTTGGAAAAACTGTGTCAACAGTACATCAAAGCAAGGTATGCAGATTTTTTTCATCATTTCTGTACTAGTTAAGTTTTATAGTTTTCTGTATGTTTTACAGATTTTTTAATAAAGCATGATTGAAATATAATTAATTTTGGCACAAATGTTATTCCATACACTTGAGATTCGAAGGAAACCGTTTCATTGCCTGTTCCAAAACATGTAACTACCACTGTAAATTAGGCTTGTTTTTCACTAGATAGAACCGTGAAAAACCCACCAAAAACACCTTTCCCCTGGTTTTCATGTGCAATCTGTAGAAAACGTCCAATGCACCTGCACCCAGCTCACTGTTTGTCTGTGTGAGCTCTTTTCCTGCTTTCAAAGTTCCCACGGAAAGCAGAGGACCACCCAGCGGCGCAGAGCACGACGCCGATTAGCTGCGCGGAGCTCATTTGCATTAACGTCAGTAAAGGCTGTAGGTCAATCCTTGCGGGTGCTTTTATTGGATGTGCCGCTGTCAAGCAGTGCTGAAGAATTGGAAGGGCAAACGCCAGAAAAGGCAGAGAAAAGACAAACATAAAATCAGCATTATGTAGCTCGATTCTACCTTACTGCCGCTCTCGTCAACCGTGAATAACCGAGCCGTCCCCAGTAACAGATCCGAAACTTGTGGACACGGAGCGGTCTTGTTTTGTGGGGGGTTTTTTGTTGTTGTTTTTTTAGATTTTTTTTTCTCTATGTGTCTCTCTCAAGCGATTGCATTCTCCAGAGGTGGTACATCCACACATTACAGTCTGACAGCCTCTACATCCTATTCCCCCCATTCAGAATGAGAGAAAATCGCGGAGCCTGGTAACACTGTAGCCAATTGCACCCGGGTTTGGACTTCTTATATCAGGCGGATCATCCTTAACCTGATAGCGAATGCCTGAATGGAGATTGCAAGCCATCCAACAAGATTTCTTCGCTTCCTAAACTGGTGAATTTGGGCTGATAAATGGAGTGTTCCGCCGGACTACACGGCATTATGTTCTACGACGGGTGTTTGACATCGGAGCGACTGGCCAGAATAACACCCTGTAGTGTGAATATTTCAGCCTGTTGATGATGAACCGCTCAGGACTGGAGCAAAGTGTCGTGAGAACCGGTTTATGGCCCATGTCTTGAGCTGAAGTGGGCAACCAGTTTGTTTGAGAGAGAGGGGGGGGGGAGAGAAAGAAAGAGAGAGAGAGAGAAAAGCATCATTTTTGATGGCTCCAGGGTGGGGGAGGACGACTACACATGAAACCGTGGACACAAAAAATGGATAAAACTATTGCATGAAGCTGGCGGGGGGACTGCATGGTGTGTGTTTTTAAGGCCTACTTGATAACAGTGAAGTTGGGGGAAAATGAGAAAATGGTGATGTGGTACGAAGCCGGAATGAGGGATAAAATCGTGTTTGGGGATCTGAGCAGCTCAGCTGAAGAATAACGGAATCCAGGTTCTCGTGGATAAGACAGCTGCTTTGATTAAAGACCTCCAATTAACTTCATGCGAAAAAAGAGAGGGAGAAAATCAGCTTCCTGGTTTGAGGGTGGGGGATAGAAAAATATATTATTCATGCCTTGTGTCAGAGCAATTGGAGAACCGGCTTTGCTGTGGCCTAGATGATACATATATGTATTTATATATATATATATATATATATATATATTTAAAAAAATGAAACCTTAGGAGGAAGGGTGGACCTTTTTAAAAAAAAATTAAAAAAAATACAAAAAACAGAGGGCGAATGACACTTGAGTAGCCTCAAAGTAAAGCACTTGCGCAAAAAGAAAAAGGCTGAAGTGGGTTGAAGCATGGGCTGTGCTTCAAGTATTCATATCTCTGATAGGGTGGTCTACCACAGTGGAAAAGAGTCCGAGGATTCCCACTCACCCCAGCAGACTAATACCACTCAGCATCAAGGAAATCCTGCCTTGGGACTACCCCTAAAACCCCCAAGCTGCAAGGTGAGGCAACTTATATTCATTATATTTACAGAGACACAGGAACAATTTGTGTGTGTGTGTGTGTGTGTGTGTGTGTGTGTGTGTGTGTTACATAAAGTTGTTCTGCTAGAGGCCAATAACTATATGATTCCTATTATGATTTTTTTGGACACCATACCATAATTTTTCCAAAACTTAATTTTTATTGGCAATATTTTGGAAGAACTATGCAGTAGATTATCCCAGGAGACCGAAATAGGGGAAAACTTGAAAGCCATTATAAATTTGACTGTTCAGTACAACAGCACAGCTGCTATATAGCAGTTTCTTTAAATTTTGATAGACATTGCATTACTTTCATTTTAACTCAGTTCAAACAAACAAAAAAATCCATGCTTGACATCACAAATAGGCCATGATACACACTCAGTGAAGGGTTGTGGGGTCACAGGCCTCCACATTAACCTCTGAGGTATTGTTCTCTTTGTAAGAGTCAGGATACAGAAAATTTTTATAGCAGTTCTCAGTCGCTTTATGTCTACATGATGTGTATAATCTTACTGCTAGAGTAATGCGCTTTATACGACTAAAATTTTAAGCATGAAGCACTGACATCTGTTGTCAAACATGGTTCAGTTGACACAGCTTCACCTTTCTGTCAGTTGCGGTTTTCAATAGGATGTCCTGTTTTGTTGGATCTTATAAAGGCCTAAACTTTGTGTTTCATGCATTAGAAGCATTTAACTGTAAGTGTTTTAAAAAGTGGACAGGGATCTCTGAATGGAAAGTAGGGGTAGGTAGTGAAAAGTATTGAGTGACATAATAGCAAAACATTTGCCATCAGTGTGTTACATCATCCCAAAAAATAACAGTCCCATTTGTGTATTGGACCACAAATAATTACACTTACATACAGAGGATAGAGGACAGAGGATAACAAAATGTGCTGTGCCATCTTGTGTGCAGGGACCAAATAGGTGTTTCTAATCAAGATGATGATGATTCCTGTTATTATAAGAGGTTATGCACATAAGAACAACTTGTCACTCCTATTCAGATTGATAGGCAGATGTGTGTTTGTAGGAGTTTGAAAGATGTAATTGTTTTGCAGCAAACTTAAGAAGTGAAGATCCTGGTTTTCATGTGTACTGGCAAAAGGCCCCATCCCATTTGTAGAAAGTGCAGTAATTGAGCAATATTGAGTTATGAACAGTTATTTTATGTCTGAATGAAGAATAATGATGTAGAAGCCTCAAGCAGTGCCGCATTGATAATAAAAGGAAGGAAGCTCACGCTGTAATGTTTGTGTACATCTGCAGGCATCTGCCAACACAAAATGTCCATAAAAAAGTGTGATCTTGTGAATTTAGTGGTGCATGAGTGTGTCTGTGTGTTGGTTGTTTTCATGAATATGTGTGCGTTTGTCTGACAGACCGCAGGCTATTTGAGGGCCTCTGTCAAGCTGAATTTTGTGGCCAAATGTCACTGCAGGATGCAGTGTGAAGTCAGTGTGACAGATGCCCCCACGTGAAGACACTCACTGTGCCTTTGATTGAATTAGTCCCCTGATTGACTAATGGTATACAAATCTCATTCAGCTGGAAATGGTTAATCCCTGTTGTGTAAAGTGTCATTGTTTAACATCCTCTGTATTTTCCCCAAGTGATCGGGAAGGTTGAACTTTATCATAATGTATAGAAAAGTAAGTTATAGTTACTCTCATCAAAATTCCCATCAGAGTCAGTGATACCTACCATTGCTGCTGGTTGTCGCTCTTTTGATTTCTTCTCCCTAAAAGAGATCAATAACAGCCATTGATTGGATTTAAAAAGGCCTTTTGCAGCACATTGTCATTTCAAAACCCTAATTTCTTGCATTTCATTTGGAATATAATTGGGAATAGAGACTTTGAGAGATGTCACTGTTTGATTTGAAACAGTAGAGCTGCACCAGATCCCAGTAGGCATCAGTAGAAAGTAGACCCGAAGCGATTAGTTGATTAATCCATTAGTTAATCGACAGAAACTAAAAGCGGCAACTATTTTGATAACCAGTAATGCTAAATATTCTTCTCTCGAATGTGAGGATTTGCTGCTTTTCTTTGTCTTAAGTGATTATAATCTGAATGTCTTTGGGGGGGATTTCACTGTTGGTCGGACAAAACAAGCATTTTGAAGATGTCACATTGGGCTTAAGGAAATTGTAATAGTGAAATGTTTTTGATTTTTTCACTATTTGAAGTGAAATAGTAAAATAATTAGCAGGAAACGAAAACAACTTTTAGATGCAGCCCTAGTAGAAAGTATAACAGATACATGCCATCTCAAATAGTTTGTGTCTAATCATTATGTGTTTTGCTTTAGTCTCTGTGTGCGTGTTTGTGCCCCGGCTTGTGTTATGGTGACTCTGAAGGGAGCATACATCCATCCTCTAAAGGATGATAATAATACTCCCATCTACATCTACACATGCTAGCACTAGTTACAGCAAAGTGTACAAGTTTAGCGTATTACAAACTGAATTAAGCAAATGGTAAGACTGTGCTGCTTACATTTTTTTTTACACTTAGAGAGAGAGAGACAGGGAGGGAACATGTGCAGGCGTCTACAGTGTGAGAAAGATTCAATAGAAGTTTGGGAGTGTGATGTGAGTCTTTGTCAAGGGTATGTTACCATCTGGGCTGCTCTGGTGATGATAAGCTTCAAGTACAAGGTCCTGTGATAGTGGGCATTTTGAGTGTGTTTGTGTATGTGGGGCCAAACAGACAGTAAAAGACCTCAGCCAAACACTACACCATTTATCTGGCCTTGACTTTTCCAATCTGATTGCCCCCCACTCAAGGAAATCAAGTAGCCCCCTCTGCGAATGGAGAATCAGTTTTACTGTTACCTCTTACTATAAATGGAAAAGGGCAATAAAAAGGTGGTAAGCTTATAAGTATCTGCAGAGTAATACCATCTTGCTTGCTCCCTGATTCCAGCCTCTGCATGCATTAACATAAGTGGTGAAATCACTCAGCCATACCTCAGACATCCCCCATTAAAACCCTCCCATCCCCAGAAGTGACAAGGCACACAAGGTTGCTTTTCTAAACTAAAGTCTCTGTTGGAGAACACTTAACTGTTGCTAACACACAGAACAGAAAAGGTCTCTGAACCAAACACCTCACGTGATGCATCTTTGAAATAGTGTGTACGATACACCACTGACCTGGGCAGTCTTTCTCCATTTGTCGTGTGTGTGTGTGTGTGTGTGTGTGTGTGTG